GCCGGCAAATCATGGGGTACATCACCAAAGATATTAAGATGGCTATACCTGATGGTAGTAAGACCCATTTTAACCTATGGGGTGGTAGCATGGGGAAACAGGGCGCGGATGATCACTGCGAAGAAACAACTACAAAAGTTGCAAAAAATGGCCTGCGTATGTGTGACAGGAGCTATTCGCATCTGCCCAACAATGACCCTTGAAGTCTTAATGGAGCTCACACCACTCCACCATATCATAAGGCTCAAGCAGAAAGCCACGCTTCTTAGGATATCGGCAGAAGGAGTTGGGGGCAATCATATCCTAAGCCATAAAGATGCCCAACTCCTTTCAAACGAACTACCCCTACTGACGCAAATTTCACAGTTCGTATGAGTAGTAAAAGGGAATGGACAACTCTGGATGAAGTCCCATGAAACCGCACACCATAAAATGGTACACCGATGGATCACTCACGAATCAGGGCACCGCCCTTGGAGTGGTGGGTTCTCGGGTATTTTACCATAAATCTCTGGGAACGCACACCAGCATATTTCAGGCTGAGGTGTGTGCGATAGGGAGATGTGCGGACTTCAACATATCCGATAGTCAAGCAGCATTGAAAGCTATAATGGGGACTAAGATAACATCGAAGGTAGTCCATGAAGTTCGTTCAAAGCTAGACCTACTCGGGACTCACAACAGGCTCACCCTACGATGGGTCCCGGGCCACAGAGTCATAGCGGGAAACGAGGCGGCTGACAAGCAAGAAAGAATGGGGCAGGAAGGCCCCTAACAGGACCAGAACCGTATTGTGGCATAGGGATGCACACTATACGACCGGAACTTAGAAACGAGGAGAGGCAGAGACGGCAACAGAGCTGGTCGGAGACAGTAGGACTCCGACAAGCCAGATGTCTCCTAGGTGGTTATAATCTTGTTCGATTTAAACAGATTATAACCATGCGAAAGAACAGCCTTAGGATACTTACCGGTCTATTGACAGGACACTGTAGACTAAGGAGTCAAGTAGCGATCTCTGCAGGTTTTGTGAAAGAGAGGAGGAATCCTAGATGTACATCCTGGCAGAATGTGTTGCCTTAGCTAGAAGAAGAAGCAGCCTCCTAGGGGCGCATGTTTTGAATTGCAAAGACATAGAAGACCTCAACCCAACAAAGATCCTTACGTTCGTACGGAAGTTGGGGCTGATGGAGGAGCTATAAGAAGGGGGCACAATAGATCAAATAGGTCGCGGTGTAGCTTCCCCAATAATAATAAAAAAAATAAAGGATGGCCAAGAAGTCTTTCGAAGGAATTTTGCCATTAGAAAAATTCTCACATGACTTCAACGGCGAACTAGGATCGAAATTTGTAAAATGTCGAATCAAGGAAAATCTTGGCAATAGTTTTTTTTTATCTCTTAGAAGATTTACAAGGACGTGAAATAGGAACTTAGAACGCAAAATATATTCACATCTAATTCCCGCTAATCTTCCAGCTATCATGTCATATTATCATGTGTGTAATGATCAGGACGTAACTTAAAAACTATAGAGTTGCAGCGCTAATCGTTTGCGACAAATTTGTCGCCTGCGCTGTAACGGACGAATAGTACGCAAAGCAGTGCATCTGAGCACGCAAAAAGCTGAGCTTAAAAAAAAAAATAAATGAAACTTTTACGCAAACGGAGCATGCTCAAGGTTAGCAATAGATCGCTCAAGGGAGCTTTCGAAACGCAGCCAACTTTGTTGTCTCCACTTGCATCCGACGGCTTGAGCAAGCACAACCGGGTATAAAAGGGAGTTGATCTCAGCTAAAGCCATCCTCCTTTTTAAAATTATTGCAACGTGCGGATGCACATAGAAAGTAAAACGTCGGTCGGCGAAAATGAACCGCGGCTGAACAAAAAAGAAAATAAATTAAAATAGCGCCGAATTCTTTTCACACTAAAACAAGAAAGAACACAAAAAAAAAACCCACCAATTTAAAAGACACCAAAACCAGAAGCAAAGTTATACCAATTGTAAAAAAAAAGACGAACCAACAAAAATCTTGTGAACGTGCCACGTCTCATCACGTGCCCGGCCAGGATGGCCATAACCAAAGCCCTCTGGAAGCGGAGAGGCACAGCCGCTAGACCCCTTCAGAAACCTCTGGAAGCCATCAAGAAGCCCGCTGCCCCGATCGCTACTCCATGACGCTAGGAAGAGAGCCCCAATTTTTTCATCCCCTGGAGACGGAGCCAGCTCATCTGCAGCAGCAGCCAAACCGGCGAATTAATTAAAACAAACCAACACAGACTACATAAACGATATATTACAACAACAAAAAATAAAAAAATTGTGTATAAAATAAGTGCTTAAAAAAGAAAGTTAAGAAAGTTATTCTGTATCATAAGTAAATCTACAAATATATTACAAATTATAAAAAAAATTTCCACAATGCCATTAAGATTCAAAAAATGAAATGCCAAAAAAAAAAAAATAATAATAGCTTAAAATACTAAAAGTCCAGGGAAATTAAAACAAACATCATAAAAAACTATCGATGCAGAAAAGTTGTAAAATATATAAAACCGGAAAGTTCGAATTTTTTTTATATCATAAATAAGCTCAGAACTTTCAAATCAAACCGATAAAAGTGACCGGCTGTGTATTTTTGTATAAGTGCAATACTAATGAAATCCCATATTAAAGTCATAACAAAAAAAAAATACCAGATAACTCCCCCCCCCCATTATTAATTTTGTTTTGTGATTGAATAATTAATTAAGTTTCAATGAGAAAAAATATACATCTATATAAACCTACGACTACAAGAAATAAACCCATCGTAAGTCAAGAATCTACTTTTCCTGAAATTTGGTAAAATTCGGTACCAATAAACGTACTTTCGTACGAAACATAGCTAAAAATTTAAAAAGGCAAATTTGAGAAGCACCCGAATTTTTCCAAAATATTTTTTATTCAAGCATAAAAAAAAGAAAATAATACGAATCCCTAAGCAACCACAGAAAAAAATACCATTAAAAAAACCAGAAACCAAATCCGCACTAATAATTAAAACTTGATCCATATACATACTCACATCAGTTGAACTTTTATCCGCTTTAGGCTGCAGCTTATCCCAGGCTAAGCTTGAAGCTTTCGTCTAGGTAAGCTTTCGGCTTGGAATATAGCTTTGGAGCTTTGAAAGCTTAAAGTCGGTGGCGCATGCGCAATAGGTGGCGTCAATCGACAGCTTTTTGCCTTGAATTAGATTGCAATGCTTACAGGTGCCAACAAAATTATATGCACACTTGGCACTAAAAAAATAAAACCAATTAAACTCAACCATAGAAAAAACTTAACATTACAAAAATAATAATAGAAAAATAAATCTACCAATTCACTCTTTAGCCATGGCATAATAAAACAAAATGTAGCCAGAAATAAAACAAATTTAATTATAATAAAAATACATCAAACATTACCCTCGGCAAAGAACAATTGAATATTCTCTTATATATTTTTTTAATTTTTGTACTTCAACTATTGTAATCAACTAGGCTAATTATTTATTTTTTTTTATAAAAATGAAAAGAAAAAATTTATAAATATATTAAGAAAACTAGATTCGGCATCACAACGGGCCAAATGTGGCCTAAGTGTGTCAGCCCATAGGGCTGACAGCCGACATAACCTAACCCAACCTAAGAAAACTAGACCGAACATTGTAAAAGCAGGAAAAATAATAATACAATTATAAAAAAAAAACAAGAAAAATTTGTAATTATTAATTAAAATAAATAAAGGATCAAAATATGGAAAACCAATTATTTATAATACCAAAAATAAAACTACAACTTATAAGCTGAAATTTCTAAAACTAGAGTTATTAAAATTATTAATGCTACTTTGTTAAATAAAAAAAACTATATATACCTTTGCATATCCATATTAACTTTTAAGCTACTCATTTGTGTTAACTTTAAGTAGGGTAAGATTAGAAACCGCTCCCCGAACTGAATCATCAGAGCAAATAAAAATTAAACATGTATTCAGTAAAACCAACGATGGAGTAATTGTCGAGTATACGGGGTCAACCAAAATTATATAATGAGATAGAAAATTTTTTAATAGGGAATCTCACAACTCACATTCGGTTGGGTGGCTAGAGACTGCGAGCATCGAATGCCATCTGAGATCCCGCTACATTTATTTAGATAGTCCAGCATATATTAGAACAGTCACTTTTAATATTAGTATTTCGTCTGATTTTTTATATTTTGTATCAATTTTTAGTTCCATTTTATTCATTAATTTGAATTGCTTATGCACATATTTTTATATATTTAATTATCCACTTATATATTTATGCAAATATTTATTCCGATTTACAAAGTTAAATATTATACTGTTCAAATCCGGCATCCTGATTTTGCCAAACTTCACAAATTTAGATACACAAACGATCCCCATAATATTATTATTAGAACTCTGGTAGGGTATAATAGGTAGATTGAGGTTAATTTGATAAAATTTCATTTGAATTATTTTCACATATATTTGGTAAGATTTAGCTGACAAATTGTTATTCAAATTCAAATTGTAATTCCCGTTGTAGTTTTTCCAGGCGGAAAGTTTTGTTATTTTATGTTGAAAATGCAAGCTAACTAAGAGATAAATCTTAAGAACGATAATAAAGTGTGTGTGTTACGGAAAATATCCAACAGCCTACTAACCAAATTTAGTGACTCTAGCCTAAAAATGGTGGCCTTATTAACACATTGTCTGACGCGGGCACAGAGGTTTCTAGGCCTATATCAAGACATAGGTCGAATGCTATTTGATTGTTCATATTATTTTGACTTAAAACTATTTGACTTAAAATTATAATGGTATGAAATATGTGCGAAAGTGTGTAACTTGCAGAAATAAGTATCTCCGACCCCACATATAAGCAAGCTATACTTCAGCACATATTGATCTCTTTAATATTAGCGGGCACAAGAATTCTCTGTAATCTTAGCTATTGCGTTTATTATTTTTAATTATTTATATATTGTTTACAAGATGATTTCAACTGTTGCCAATGTTTTGAGTTTATTTATTATTGATCGTCAAAAATAAAGCGACCGGAGCAATGTAAAATAGCTCATTGAAGTGCTAAGTATCTAAAACAAAAAGGGTAAATTTTTTGGTATTTTTGTGTAAGCTTAGGCTATATGCTTCTTACCGCAGCAAAACTTTGAAGGGATAAAGTTGAAAACTTAAAAGCTGTTATTCTCACAGGTCGCTGACTACAAAGTATCATAAATTCTAAGCTTGTGCGGAACTCTTTGTTGTACGGTATTTTGGATGTTCCTTCCCAGCCGCAATTATAAAGATGATAAGCCGTGATTGTTGACTATAAGAAAATGGAAAAATACATATTTGATTTTCAAATTTATTAAACTTGGACAGCGTTGTGCAATATTCATTGCAGTGAATAATCAATAATAAGCTTTTTAATTTCAATAACTCTATCTAAAAAAATGTGGGATTATAGGCTTTTTATCTGACATAATCCGACGGGCACAGATAAGAATATGTTTAAAGTTTAAATTCTTTATTTTTAAGTGACGGGTATGGTGCAGACAAGCAGCTTTATGGGCATTGTACAAAAACAAAACAATTTGGTTCTGAATTTTTAATGTTTTGTTTTTTATATAAAGAAAGCCGAGAAAGTTATATGTGAAAGGAAAGAAAATTGATTTGCGTAAAAGTCCAATATGATCCTGTTTATTTAATTTTGTTTTTACGAATTTTAAAGATTGCATAAAGAACAATAATAAGATTATTAAAGATTAAGATTTTAACGCTTACATGTTGTATTAATGTATCACCGTTGCCGCAAAGTATGTATAGCTGCGATATTGCCGATGAGATGTAAACGACGAACTTAATGTAGTCGCCAATAAACATGTTTTTACCCTGTTAATAAGTACAACAGTAAATTATAGTATAAGATAACTAAAAATAAATACTTACAGTAACGAGCTGAAAACCCACCATGCAAATAAGAAGTGCCGAAATGGTCAGATTCACAAGAAGTATGGGATTAAAAAAATCTTCCAACAGTTTAGCAAAACTAAAAAAACATCTTTATAAGTCAAATTGGAAATCTACACATATATTCAAATTAGTTTGGTTATTAAGCCAATGTGGGACACTGCTATTGCCCGCCTATTTTCTTAACGGTGGAGCCGAATACAGGATGCTACAGAAAATGCAATAACAGTATGAAGGGGTTCAGCACCAATTCGATGCCGAAGCAGCGAACTGATGCATGAGTGCCATAGGGGGAGCCTGAGAAAGATTTTGAGCACCAGCGCTGCAAAGCACCTATCACACGAGGCGGGACCTAGCCAAATCAACAGGTTGATGCAAGGAGCCATGAGCTGTTAGAGGTAGAATATGGCTGAATGGAATCTGTGCCCAGGTGATTGCGAGCTGAAGCTCTTAATATATTCGAGCGAAGCTCCTAATATATCCTTCGAAACCGAAGGATTATCCACACGCATCTACAACTGGAGGGTCTTTTATGAACATTCTTAGAATTATTCTATGTGACAGTAAGGAGGGTTTCTCTTTGTGTAGGTCATATAGAAAGATTTGAAAAACCAATTGGCAATACAATTATTACTGTTATGATTTAAATTTGGATAGACAATGAATTTATAGGTAACAGCTGACATACCACTCCACTAGTTTTGTAAAGTGTTCTTTAATTCTATTCTAATCTAATCTACTCTAATCACACTATAAAAAGTATCCCATCCCGACACGTACATTTTACATCAATTTACTCAACTGAATATAGAAAAGTATATTATATCCGAATGCTTACCAAATAATCTTGTTATGATGATGGGCAATGCTGTGAAGCTCTCGTATTTGTTTTAAGTGAAACTGTTTTATGTTAGATTTTGGGCACATTTGTACATTTGTGGAATCCATTAAAACATCAATTCTCTCATGCAGTAGGCGAAATTGTCCGCATGTGTATGTTACAAAGAATCCAAATATAGAATCTTCAGCAAATAGTGTTGTAACTACACAAATGCCGGCATATGCTGTAAATATGTACGTAAGCGAATATGGTATCCAATTGTTGTACGGGTTGAAAGGAAAGAGCATTTTATATGGAAATGGCTTAGTCGATGCGTCGATGCCAACAATCCAGAATAGCTCCACCAGTGGCAGTATACAATACATGAGTATAAGGCAAGACAGCAAAACACTCATCACTCGATAGGTATTCATCCACTTACGGCACTCATTGGAAACTTTGACATTTGAGTCGCTATACAAAAATTGCATAATAATATAAATTAGAAACAATTAAGAATGTTGTAGTCGACCGTAACCGACTGCTGAATACTCTGGCAGGCTCAGCTTCTTTTCCCACCTTTCATCATAACGTGGCTTAAGGGTATGAAATATTACAATTCAGCTCTCGTCTTTACGCCCTTTCGTATACATATTAGATATTGTAGCCAACATACGGAAAAGCGCAGGAGCCTTCGTTATATTTACGTAAGTATACTTCTGTGTGCACAACAGTAGTTTCAGACTTTAATTGTCTATGATAAATGGACGCAAAGGACACATTATTGCAGATAATTGAATTTGTCGCTTTTTATACTCAGAAGTTTTGGTTGCTTACAAAAAATTGACTTTGCATATACAAACAAACATTGAACAATGAATATATGTACATTATTTTATTCTACTTACTTTGGTATCCAAATATCGACTACGAATTGTTGAATTATTTCATAAAATTTTCGCTGGTTCAGTCGTAGGTGCATTAAGCGAACAAAGTTTAAGGCACCCATTAAAGTAGTACAGCAACTTTCCGTAATCATAATAATATCCCCAAAGTTGTTGACCAAAAATGCCGTTTGAAAGCTAATTGTAATGCCCACCGATATAATAACATACCATGCCCACAAAGTATAAGCTAAGCCATATATGTTCTTCCGCGTCAGTGAAGCTGGCCTTAATTTCTGCGAAATGGTTTCTAGAGGCCAACAACCATTTAATTTTAACCAAATGCACTGCATAGGTATGCGAAAGCCGTTATCTCGAAGTGGCTGTGGATTGAACATTACGATACGACTGACTTAACTACTCTATTGCACGCCAATGTAGCACACTGCCTTTTATGTCGTCGTAAATAAGGAGAGTATGAGAAGTACAATTAGAATCATTAATGAAACGATTAAAAAGCTCTTTGATGTTACAACTTCTTGGCGAAAGCCAACAGAATATTTAAGTATAACCTTAATTGCATCAAATTATATTCTTTGTTATTACAATTTCTTAACGAAAACCATTCCAATATTTTACTGTACTAGTGGTTTGCGCTATCAGTTTTTTGATAGCTTTATTTTCCAAAAATAACACAAAGTTAATTCAGAACACGCTTTATAGCTTGTTCAAATGTATTTAGACTAGAAGCCAACGCTTAGTTTTTTCTATCAACGATTTGTTTATTAAAGATTTGAAGACAATTGCAAAATATTCTCACAATAAGCATAACTACCGAGCGAAATGAAGATTTGAAGCCACCGCTAAACCTTCTCAAAACGAGATGGTAACTAAAACGATAGATCAGCTATAGACATACAGCACAACTAACTAGCTGCAGCAGCCGGCGGATCAGCGTTCTTCCTTTATCGGAGAGAGAGAGAGAGAGAGAGAGAGAGAGAGAGAGAGAGAGAGAGAGAGAGAGAGAGAGAGAGAGAGAGAGAGAGAGAGAGAGAGAGAGAGCGGCATGCAGAGAGCGTTGCTCAAACTATATTTAACATATTGTGCATATGTAATTACAACTAACAATAAGTTATTAATATTAAGTCACGCAGGGCTCTAAATTAAAGTATGTAAACAAATTATCATAAAAGTTCTATGCTGCTGCTGCCAAAAATAGTAATTTTAAAAAATTCATATTTATCCTGCAAGGTATATCTCGCTCCACCATTATCAAGTGTTAAGACGTTTTAATAAACAATCTGATTCAAAATAAAGAATTGTGCCGCAGCACAAGGCGAGGGCTGTGCAAATATACGAGTATACGCGAGTCTGCGCGAACCTATAAGCGAGTGAGAGTTGAACTGTGCAAAAGTGAAAGTGAGACGGTCGCAATTTACGAAGTCAACGAGAAACGTGAACACGAGACACAAAGGACGAGTGCAAGGACACTGTGTATCGAAGGATTCAACTGAACACAAGAATCACAGGACATCGCGGTCCTGTAAGCAGGTGCGAAAAGTATATCCTTGCCACGCTTGAATTGTGGCAAAAGGCGATATTCGCAATGAAACAAGCGAAGCAAACGAAGCTTGGTCTGTGATTAGCCAATGAGCGAATCCTGACTCACAAGAGTACTAGGGACAATCTTTGGGGAACAAGGAAACCGTTAATCCTGGTGAGCATCAGGAGTGCTGTACGAAATCTCTGACGGGCAGACTGAGATCTTGGACTTGCGTAGCTGGCGGGCGGAGTGCCTGGGGCAGATTCATGCGCACAGGAGCTCGAATCGTAGAAATTAAGCGATCAGAAAACTAGCATTGGAAAATTTAATTTCAAACAATATAAGTGTAATAAAATAAAGCAAGTTTAATATATATTTACACTGTGTTATTAATTATTGCAAACGCTCGACTGAGTTTTAGCTTAGCTAAAATACGAACGAACAAAAAGTATCATTACAATATAATTAAAGAAAAAATTATAGTTATGCCAATAATAAACTCAAAATTCGATTCCTTGAATAGTCTCTGCTCAGAAAACTGATAAAAAAAAAATTGAGGCACTCTATTTTTCAGAACGCACAGGGCCAAAATTTAAAAGTTATGAAAATCGACTAGCTCATTTTGTAATTATGGATTATGGAAGTCTTCTACGGAACAGATTTTTGGGGACTACATATTTTATGATAAGCAATTTTCTTCAATTTCAATTGGAAAAGTAGATCAAACAATAATGCAAATGAGCGGATTAGCCTGATACCCAATGCATTGCCCCAAAGAGTGTCACTGCAAAAAGAGATTTGACAAAACAGGGCCATAAGCGTGGGCATTCACAAAAAGAGTACGAACATAAAAAAAATATTTTCCTGAACTTGCTTTATAAGCGATCCATAGCTAGTTGCATTACGCAGAGGATGAGGCATGTGTCGCATAATAATATTGCGTCAAATTATTTATTTTATTTCAAAGTCATAATTCTATTATCCCCTGGAGCGTATTGGACTCAAACTTACACCAGCCAATCGCGTTCCTATGCTACTTAAAAAAATCCAAGATCCAAAAATAGTGTCTGCTTTTGAATTTTTGATCGGAATTGCCATTTATTCATTGGTGCCCATTTGATTGTGGGCTTCCAACACAGAACATCCCTTAGGAGACTTTTAATGCTTATAACTGTAACAGTTATGCACTGATACTGAAGCTTGTCTGAGTTGGGTATAAGCCCCTCCTAGGGAGCGTAACCTTGATCGCATCTTAAGATGTATTGTCTATCATGTCACCTATGATGAATACAAAATTTTGAATATTATTTATAAATGCTTCTCAAAGATGGCGAGCGCAGTCAACAAAAAATACGATACAAAGGAAAATGTTGAACATTTAGAAAGAGAATTATGTACAAGTGCTGAATGCCAAAAAGTCTACGGAAGCAACTCTAAATATAGAGAAGGAGTCAACCAAAATAATCCGCAGATCGGTTTACAGGCAGGCACAAAACCTGATTCAAAGAGCACAGAAAAGGAGCAATTTACAATTTGTAGAAGAACAAGCGACGGACAATTGTAGTCCTCAAATCGATGAGTAAATGTTGAAATTATGAGAATTAGAGAGACAAAAGTTGGCAAAAAACTAGTGGACTAGGGAAACCTCAGAAATGACCCTTCATTACTTAGGCTCTCAAAATTAGCTTATTCAATTAAATAGTTAAACAAGCTCTTGGCTTCTTGACTTTTTCTGAAAGAGGCCGGATCAAGCGGATAAAATGTAATGTCGTTCACATTGTAATAGTCACCGTTGATGGATTGCGGAACTGATAAATTTTAAATTATACCGCCTTTTCTTTGTTCGATAAAATTTGAGTCAGTTTCGTAGCACCCAGCCTTCAGTGACCTTAATAGAAATGTTGCAGAGCTCGATCACTTGGCTCTCCCGAGGAAAGAAGCAGAAATTAAAAATTCGAAAAAGAAAAGCTTTTTTTCGTTTTTTTGCTGCTTATAAAAGAGCTGGCGGAGGCAGCCTGCAGCCTTTTTCGCCTGGTGGTTTTATCCAAGAAGTCCGCTCCCTCAACGTCTGTTAGCTCAATGGCTAAACGTGAGAGGTTAAATCGCGCGCCTCCAATTATTCATATAATTTGCATATTTTGGGCAGTAAGGCCTGGCCGCGACCACCAGCAGAAGAAAAAGCGAGACAACTCCACCTTGGAGGCCATCGCGGCAGCGATCATACAAGTTTTGCCTTGTAAAAATTTATAAGGTATGTGCCGCAGTTGCCTCAATTGCCGTGTATTATTCTAAAGTCCAAATCCCCTTCTTAGCACTTTGGCTTAAAATTCCAATCAACCCCACACCAGCCAAACGTGTGTTGGCGCAGTCGCTTCAGGTGTGGGGGTAGAAGACCGCCAAGTCAAAGACAAGTGGAATTAAATTTGGCGCCCTCCCCTCGCCATCCCTGGGCCTTCCCAATTGGGACACAATTATCATACGGGCGCCCATCTGCGTTTACGCAACGCTTTGAGCGGAAGCTTTGTGTTTGGATTTCTTCACACCAGCTGGCATCAGTGCATCTCAACCCGCCGCGCTTCTAATTTTTTTGTGCCAAATTCGCTTCCACATTTTTTTTGTGCTCAAAAACTAAAAGTAATTTGAACATTCAAATTACTTATAAGTGCTTGCTTAAAGTTGTGGTTGTTGTTGTGAGAGCAATAGCTTTTCCTTGCCGGCCAGAAATTGGCCATCATCAGTTTTTTTCTTTTATTTGAAGAGTAAGTAGTGTAAGTAAGTGTAAGTAAAAACAAAAACAAAAATTAAACTACAGGATAAATAAAACAAAAAAAAAAAAATTAATTAATTAATAAAGGCAAATATAAGATAAGTGAAGAGCAGAAGAGACATATAAAGCTCATCTAAAATGCACACATACACACACAACCCCATATATACAAGCATCGATGGAAAGCTTTCCAACGTTGGACACAAGTAAGTGTACAAATTCTTTATTTTTTGCTTTTCGTAAGCTGAGCTTATCTGACATGCTGTACCGAGAAAGCTGTCTGCACGTGTGATCACCTCCACAAGTAGGCGAAAGAAGAAAGCATGTCAGATAAGCGCAAGCTTAATTAGATTTACCTCATTGTTTAACTATTACTGTTGCCCACAAACAAAAGAGAAGAAAATATAATCAACTATAATAGAAAAAAAAAAACAAAAAAATAAAATAAATAATAAATAAATGAAAAAAAGTTTTACCAGTAACTACATTCTGTACCTCTACAACACATCCAACAACCACACCAACATTCTTTTAAGCGTGTGGAGCGCAAACAGCTGTTTAGTTGCCAGCCTCGCCCACTGACCTGCGAAGTACAGTGGCTGCGATGATGGTTCGCCCACTTGTACTATTCTTTTTTTTAATAATTAAAAATTAAATTTTTAATTGTTTTCCTTGGAGTTTGTATTAATGTCTCTAATTAATGTTTTTCTCAGATTTTGCCATTAGTTCAATTAATTATTAATTTTTTTTAAATTAAAATGTTATAAAAGTTAATTTTCAATTAATTATTTTTTTGCCAAAATTTTATAAATTTTTGTAATTAATTAATTTGTTGTAGTTAATTTTTTTGAGTTAATATTTTGTAAATTTAAAATTTAAAATTATTAATTTTTGGAATTAAAATTCTAAATTACTGAATTTTAGAATTAAATTTGTTTCCTTAATTAAATTTTCCTCATTGTTAATTAATCTGTCACTTTTTCACTTTTTCTTTATCAATTAAATAAATCCCATTATATTGCTAACACTAGGTGCCCGTAATGATTATGAAAGAAAATGAATAAACCAAAAAAAATCGTAACGTTCCT